GGCGCTGTTCGTGCGCCAGAAGTACATGGGGCTGTCGCTGCAGAGCTTCTGCAAGACCACGGCCCGCTACCTGCACGAGCTCTCCGGGAAACCCCCCGAGAGCCACCCCCAGGACGAGGTGCCCGACACCCCCGTGGCTGCAGGTGAGGGCAGGGAGGGGGGCTTGGTGTTGAGATGGGGTTTTGAGGGGTTTGGAGGAGGTTTTGGGGGGGGGTTGGGGTACTCTGGGGTGATGGGGAGCTGAGACCCAAGACCCACAGTTGTGAGGAGGTGCCTGAGACCCCCATGGCTGCAGGAGAGGGCAGAGAGGGGGCTCTTGGTGCTGGGATGGGGGGGCTGAAGGAGTTTTTGGGGGCTCTTTCAGGGGGGGCTGTGAGGGTCCCCTCAGCCTCTTTGGGTTGCTCGGGGGGATCCCCCTGGTCCCTCTGTGGAGCTGTGGGGTGCCCTCGTGTTTTGGGGCTCTGTGGGGTGACTGTGGGGGGTCTGTGGCTGCAGATGCCCCCGTGCACCCCCCCTTTGCTGAGCAACACCCCTACGAGACGTGGGACCCCCAGAAGATGCCGGAGGACCTGGGCTACGGGCTCAGGATGGTGGACGGGGTCGTGCACGTCTACACCAGCCAGGACCCCACTGACAAGTGAGTCTGGGGGGGAAATGGGGGTCCTGCTCAGCCCTGGGGTGGGGTTTGGGGCTGTGGGGACCCCCAGCTGTGTGTGTGTGTCCCCCCCTTCCCACCAGGAGCACGGAGCTGGACCTGCCCTACCCCGACCTGCAGGAGTTCATCGCAGACATGAACTTCCTGATGGCCCTGATCATCAACGGGCCCATGTGAGGGACAGGGGGGCACTGGGGGGGGAAATGGGGGCAGCAGGGGGACATAAATGGGGGCAGCAGTGGGGCACAAATGGGGACACCAGGGGGGCATAAATGGGGACACCAGGGGGTCATAAATGGGACATCAGGGGGACATGAGTGGGTCATAACTGGGGACACCAAGAGGGTCAGAGGTGGGGACACCACAGGGGCACAAATGGGGACACCAGGGGGTCATAAATAGGGTCATAAATGGGACATCAGGGGGACATGAGGGGGTCATAACTGGGGACACCAAGGGGGTCAGAGGTGGGGACACCAGGGGAGTCATAAATGGGACATCAGGGTGACACCAGGGGGGTCATCAATGGGACATCAGGGTGGCATAAATGGGGACGCCAGGGGGGTCAGAGATGGGAACACCGGTGGGGTCATAAATAGGGACACGACAGGGGGGGATCATAAATGGGGACTCCAGGAGGTCTGGGCTGGGGACAGGGACACCAGGGCTTTGGGGATGGGGAACATCAGGGTGTTGGGGATGGGGGACAGAGAGAGGGACAGACCCTCGTGGGGGGACAGAACCTGTGGAACAGCCCCGAGGACACGGGGTGGCTTCACCACACGGTGCTTGTCTGCCCCCCCACTGCCCTTGGGCACCGCGTCCCCTCAACCTGGTGGGCGCCAGCCCCCAAAGTGACCCTCCCTTCCCCAAAATTCGGGCAGCAAATCCTTCTGCTACCGGCGGCTGCAGTACCTGAGCAGCAAGTTCCAGATGCACGTGCTGCTCAACGAGATGAAGGAGCTGGCGGCGCAGAAGAAGGTCCCGCACCGCGACTTCTACAACATCCGCAAGGTACCCCCCAAATCCTGGGGGTCCTTGAGGGGGCTCCTGGGGGGGTTATCCCCCCCCCCATCCCCGGGGCTGAGCGTCGCCCTGTCCGTGCAGGTGGACACCCACATCCACGCCTCGTCCTGCATGAACCAGAAGCACCTGCTGCGCTTCATCAAGAGGGCCATGAAGAAGCACCTGGACGAGATCGTGCACGTGGAGAAGGGCAAGGAGCAGACGCTCAAGGAGGTGTTTGAGACCATGAACCTCACGGCCTACGACCTCAGCGTGGACACCCTGGACGTCCACGCGGTACGGGGGGTGGGGGGACACCCAGACCCCCCGTGGGGGTGGTGGTGGGGCTTCAGCAGGGTGGGCTCTGGGGGAGCTCTGCTCTGGGTGGGGGGTGGTCTCAGATCCCACCTCACACCCCTGTGCCCCTTCCAGGACTGGGGGATCTTCTCCAAGGGTGTTGGGGGTGCTCTGGGTGTGGTGGGGGGTCTCAGATCCCACCTCACACCCATGTCCCCCTTCCAGGACTGGGGGGATCTCCAGAAGTGCTGGGGGGGCTCTGGGGGAGCTCTGCTGTGGGTAGGGGTGTGGTGGGTGGTCTCAGCTCACACCTCACACTCGTGTGCCCCTTCCAGGACTGGGGGGATTTCCAGGGGTGCTCTGGGTGTGGTGGGTGGTCTCAGCTCCCACGCCACACCGTCCCCCTTCCAGGACTGGGGGGATCTCCAGGGGTGCTGGGGGTGCTCTGGGGGAGCCCTGCTGTGGGTAGGGGGCTGATGGGTGGTCTCAGCTGCCCTCTGTGTGTCCCCCCCCCCCAAACCCCAGGACCGCAACACCTTCCACCGCTTCGACAAGTTCAACGCCAAGTACAACCCGATCGGGGAGTCCATCCTGCGCGAGATCTTCATCAAGACCGACAACCGCGTGGACGGGAAGTACTTCGCCCACATCATCAAGGTGACACTGCCACCCCCGCCCCCCTGCTGTGCCCCCTGCCCCTTGGCCATGTGTCCCCCCT